CCACAAAGATGATGAGGGGCTGGAGCATCTGCCTGATGAGGAGAGACTGAGAGAGCTGGGACCCTTCAGCCTGGAGAAGAGCAGACTGAGAGGGGATCTGATCAATGTCTATAAATACCTGAAATGTGGGGGGCAAATGGATGGGACCAGGCTCTTTTCGGTGGTGGCTGGTGACAGGACAAGGGAAAATGGGCAAAATCTGGAACATGGGAAGTTCCAGACAAGCTTAAGGAAAATCATCTTTACTGTGAGGGTGCCGGAGCCCTGGGACAGGCTGCCCAGAGAGGGTGTGGAGTCTCCACCTGGACACTTTCCTGTGCAAGCTGCTCGAGGTGACCCTGCTTTGGCAGGGGGGTTGCACTGGCTGATCTCCTGAGGTCCCTTCCAACCCCACCGTTCTGTGATGAGATTGCATAGCTAGAAGAAAACCACCCCTTCCCTTCCCTCTGGGGTGGCAACAGCAGAAAATGACGTGGTGGATATTTCCCTGTTATTAAACTTGTCAGAGTGCGAGTGCAGAGGGGGCTCCTGTGACCCGCGCACTGGGGAGTGCACCTGCTCCAACGGGCTGACTGGGAAGCAGTGTGACATCTGCATGCACGAGCACGAGATCCCCGTGGCCAACGGTCCGGACAGCGTGAGATGTGAAGGTCTGTACCCTGCAATCCTGGGAAAAGAGGTGAGGGAAGCCCTGGGAAAGGGCCCTGTGCTGACCGCTCCGTTCCCCTGGCAGTGTGTGACAGCTGTGTCCTGCTTCTGCTGGAGGATCTGCAGAGCATCGAGATGTCCTTCCCCTCCATCCGCAGCCAGCTGGTCAACCTCAACGCCAGCTCCATCGCCTGGGCTCGCCTCCACGGTCTCAACAGCACTATGGTGGCCGTCGCTGTGCGTGGAAGGTTTAACATCACTTTCTGCCCATGTTTCCTGACCCATTGACCTGATTTGGGCTCTTTTTTTTCCCAGAACCAGCTGCGTGAGTACCAGAGAGCCATGAGCAGGATCAGGCAAAGGGCTGACGAGCTGGAGGATGAGAACGTGGACCTCACGCAGGACCTGAACGCGCTGCAGCACAAAGTAGGGTGTTTCTCTATCTTCCTTTGCCAGAGCACGAGTCCCTCTTTTTACCTAAAACAAGAGCTTTGAAGGCTGTGAGGAGCCTAGTTTAGGTAGGATGGATCTCCTACCCAGCCAGTGCTAGGCTTGAAGGTCAGGTCTCTTAGACACTCAAGCTACATTACCTGCACTCCTCCCTTGGAGGGCTCTTAAACATCTTGTGATATTGATGGCTTTTTTTTCTTGATTTATTACTTGCTTTTGAGGCATCTCCAAATTTAACCAGTAAAAATAAATTCAAGAAAATATCATTCATAGAAGAAGCATACGAGGAGGGAATGTAAACATCCTGGATGTATCCGTGCTGTGGCAGGGAGAGCCTGGGTCCTGTCAACAAGGGAGTTGACCCTTTTTATTGTAATAGTCCTTGGAGGTGTCATTACAGCAACACCTCTTGTAGGATGCAATGTAGGAAACACTAGTTGTGTCTTCAGAGATCTTATAAACTGAGCAAGATTTGATTTGATGTGATTTATAAACTGCCTGCTCCTAATCAAAGGGAGAGGGAAAGGTCTCTATTTGATGATGTATGTCCCCAAGCAGCTGCATGGACAAACTGCCTCTGTGTGTACATATATCTACACACATCTATGCTCTGATCGGCCAAACTGCAGCCCTCCATCTCTTCTTGTCCTCTGGTCAGGACCTGGGTAGGGCTGGCTCCAGCCTTTAGGTCCTTTCCTGTGTTAAGAGCGCAGGACAATGCTGTCCTCTGTTGTCAGGACTGTTTGAGGATCCAGAGCCTGTTGCATTGGAGCTAGATTTATTGCTTGCACCTTCTCTGAAGGTGCTAAATAAGACCATCACTAAACACATCGTAGGTGAGCAGTACAGGTCAGGCTGTTGGAGGAGAAGACGAAACATGGTTCAAGGACCTCAAAAGCTTCACATTCCCAAGCCTTATGTGCCTTTTGGGAACATCTTTCCT